GCGGATGCACTCTTCGATGCTCGAAGAAGGTGGTCATGATGGAATCCGTTTCTTGCACAAAACCGCAGCAACTTTATGCCATTATTGTTGAGGTCACTTTGGCCGTTTTATCAATTAATGACTTTCCAGTTTTCAGTGCCAGAACCTACATATGCATTAAAATCGCTCGTGAGGTAAGGGACTTCGTATTCGGCACTTCGTGCAGAGCAAACTTCACTTCGTCAAGGAAGCAGTCGTGTTCTCCCTCTAAATTGAGTTCGTAGACCTGCAGCAAGGTCAACGCTTTAAACTATTGTAGCTTCTGTCAAAGAATTGCGAGCCTGCGAGCCTTCCGTTGACAGGCTTCCGGTCACTAATTCTATCAGCGAGGTTGAGTTCTACTAGAACACCAACACATGCCTGAGCCCGCGTCGTGATATCAGCACCCGAGTAGAATAGCTTCCATCCGCAAACGTTCAGGTTCCTAGAACCTTGGCGCTTCGTAGATGAGAATTCAACTATGTCAAGTTGGTACCTCACGGCCTCATCAACTATCTGTTTTTCTTCTCCTCTGAGTGAGGACATGTTCCAATTTCGTACTTTAAGCTCCCACTGGTGGTGTCGTTTTCGTCTAGCCTTTTCTGAGATGCTAAAATGGCATCGCGCTGTCTGCCTCCTCCGTTCAGAACGGATAGCGACTCTGTTGCTGACTGGTATCTTCGACGTCGTTGCGTCGATCTTCTTCTGCAGTTGTTATGCTGCTTCGCTCCGACTGGCATAGGGCGGTGAGCAGGTTCTGATCGCTTACCTCATACCCTCCAACAGCCTGCGCGGCCTTTGGTAACCCGGGCAACGACGGAGCCGGTATAATTTTCGATAAAGTCAATGCCATGAAAGGCAGGTTAGAAGGTTTTTACGGAGTCTTCATCACGGTCAGCAACCCTTCTCATTTCTCAACCGGGCTTGGGACCGGAAACGGCGGAGTTCGGTTGCCTTTCAGTGTATCATTATTTAAATAGACTTAAAGTGCAAACGTATATAGCTTAAAGCATTTTCAAGCAACGGCATATCACTGGTGTACATGCTTGATATCTCTCTTGAACGAGGGTTTTGCTTCTGTGCTGAGCTGCTGATGTCATCGGTAACGTTTCATGGCACTCAATCGCGTGAATAGTTTTTCTCTGGTGCATGCAGTTAGTTTTCGCTATCCTTCCATTGCCGGATTAACGAGGCCGCAGAAGTCCTGATCTGCTGTCAATGTCAGCTGACAAGTGAGCAAGCTCATGTTGAACGTAGCAGACGAATGGCGAGTGGGCGCGCTTTTCGCAACTGAAAAAACCAAAGGCCTAACATACCAAACAAAAAAAGAAGAACAACATAAGAACTTCATACGCGGCTCAAAAGTGGTAAGATCATGCACAAAAGTCTTTAAACAAAATATACGAGTGCATGACATGATTTTCGTTAGTTTGTGATTTTTTGCGCAAATGAAAAATCAACGTTTTATCCACGTCATAGAAGGTGAGCAATGGAACACATGTGAAGTCCATTGAGAAAGACAAAAGGCAAAAGGCATTCGCTTCAGTTGTTTCGGTAGCCATGAAGGCTTGTGATAGATTTCTGACCATTTGCAACCGGGAATCTGGTAGATAACTGCCTATACATAACGCATATTTATGCCATATGCATGGATAGAAAGATCGTGCAGAGGTAAGGTCCTTATTTTTCATAAAAGAAAAAATAAAATGTCTTCACCATGCCGTAGATCCTTTAAGAAATAATGAAACATTGTATTCTGACACAGTTTCATGTACGAATAAATGTATTTACGTTTCATAGGAGTACTGTAACACTGTAAAACTGATATAACGTGACATTACGATTGATTATTGGCAAGGTATCAGCGTTCGAAATTTAATTGAAATAGGAGCTTGATTAGTAAAATGTTGCTTTACGCACATTCTGTAGCCAGAACGACTTTTGTGCCATGATAACAAAATAAGTAGCTAAGTAACATTTACGAGTCTTTCAACGCATAACGCATGCAGGGGTTTGTTAGCTGTAACGGTGAGCATCTACACATCTTTCGCTTTCGTTTTCTGTCACAGATTCAAGTATGATGCACACTGAACACATCTCCACGAATCCAGCATCTGTCTAGAAGTCTCTGACAAAAATATGTAGGAAATCATATGTAAGGACGAAATATGACAGAGTGCATTTTTTTAGCCTTGAAGTGGGGCAGATGTCAGACAATAGCAACTGAATAAGAATTAGCAAACCCCTCAACTTAAAAATTGACCAATCTCATTATATGTGAGAGATTGCTTCAAATATGCATTTGCAATTTACTGCAAATTGTATTGCAATTTATTACATAAATTACAAACGTTTCAAGCCCTTCTCAGACTTATACCTTGACAGCGAGCGAAATATGGCACGAAACGTCAGTAATTCATGTAATAAGACGTAGGTGCGGAGAAAACCTGTAAGAAAGACGAGGACAATGTGGCAAATCTTTACGTGATTTTAAACCTGTTAGAAGAGAAAAATTGAGAAACAAACCCGGATGAATGAATCGAAATTAGTAACCGCATCAATCCTCAAACGATTATAATGAAGTGCTTCTATCACGTGGCCTACCTGCTGAATGAAAATGATGACTCAGGGCTA